GTAGAATTTTTGGTTTTTATCATTGTGACGGCATTTTCTAAAATACCTCATACTTGGTTTGCTGTTATTAATTTTTTCACTACATAAAGTTATCTGCACTGGTCTACATAGGGTGTTCCGAGAAAAAAGATAGGTATCTACCTGAGAAAGTTTTCTTATGATACCAATCAATAATTATCTTATTGTTAATTATGTTCAAAGATAAGTCTAAAAAGCTGATGCATCGTTCATTCTCCACTTCCATGGTAAACTGAAGTCTCTTGTAAACACTTGAATGTATTCAATAAGCGGTCAATCTGATCACCCGGCGCTATTAGCAAAATATCATCAACGTATCGTAAGTAGAGAGATAATTCCACACGAAAAAGACAAAGCGCCTCTCTCTCCACGTCCTGCATCGCCATGTCAGCAAAAGCTGGGGAGGCTGGTAATCCCATTGGTGTGCCAAAGGTCTGTTTGTAGATGGTATTGTTAAACGTAAAAAACGTAGATGACATAACAAACTCAATGGCTAAAATGAATTCCTGTAATGGAATCTTAATCTTGTTCTCAAAATAAGTCCATCTACTTCTGATACCCTTCAACACGAGTTCGACAGGCACATTTGTGAAGAGCGAAACTGCATCCTAAAGAGATCAACAGTTTACCATCAGAAATCTTCCTACCTGATAACTTATTATATAATTCAAAACTGTCTTTAACGTAACTACCGCTTTTTGGTAAATGATCTTAAACAATCTGATTTAGATACAATGCAAAAGCATATAAGGTTGTGTTTCTAGAGGCTATTATTATTCTTAACGAAAAGAAAAATTATTTATATGACAAAAGAATCACATTACTTAGGAATAGAGATATGAGGAACGTTGCAACAAGACACATTGTTGATATCTTTCCATATTTTTAGTTAAACAGTTTCTTATATACCAGTATATTACGTAAGCAAAAATATTTTTAGATCAGTCGATCCATTAGATCTCATTACTTACTACATTGAGCAAGAAAATGCATAAGAGTCACTCCACAAACTTCCGGTGTTTGTTTATTCTAACTTAATATCTAAATAAGAGTATCATTATATTATAGATTGATTTAGTTTCATGTACTTTTCCTACGCGGTTAGGATTAGTCAAACAGATAGGATTTTTGTAAAATTATAAGTTTATTGTTATGTTTAAAAAAGTACAAAATCACATTTATATCATACACATATTTATGTCAGATCTTAATGCTATTTTAATCTCCGTGACCCTCTTTGGTCTTGTTATTTTATTACAATATAATGACACATACCATATATGGAATCTCTTGAACTCAAAGTAATTTTGTTTGTATAATATTGTAATACATTAATGATTATAAACTTAAAAAATTACAAAAATAAAAATCAGGTCATATACTAGGCTTCCTTGACATCGCAATTTTAAAGGATAGTAATTTCATGACTTACTCTTTTGAAGATACACAGTTTCTTTGCCATATCTGACAGACGTAACAATATTCAATCCTAATATGGCAGCTTCTTCACGTTTAATTTCATGTTCTTCTTTTGTAAAACCCTCGTAGAGAGACTGTCTTGTCACATCATTGCTCTCGATAAGCTTCTTACACAAATCACGTGCGGCTTTTCGAAATTCAGTAATTTTGTTTTGTTCTTCCTTGGACTTGAAGCAATTTTTCAACAAACGTTTCTCTATCTCCAGATACTCACGCTGTTTTACACTCGTCTGTAAAAAAAGAATATTGTTACAAGAAAATTCTTTTTGTAAAAAAATAA